CACAGTTTATGTAACATTAAACACTACTCCATACATTCCAGTCCAAAATTCAAGTATCAAATTCCATTGAAGAACAAATGCTGCACAGATGTTTGTCAGATGTAAAACACAAATAATTTTTAGCATCTCTAGTTAAATCACACTTCTCTGTCCATGGTTTAGGTGGAGCACATGTTGTCACATGTTGTCATGCATACAGGTGCTGTGTATAGTTTGGAGGAAGTATAATATCTACTTAGATACCTTCTCCTGGAAGATGTAATGCAGTCTCTTCATGAGACAAAATTAATGGTCCTTAACACATATTTTATTGTCCTTTCTCGACTGAAAAATAACATTATAGCAGATTATTCTTAATAGTCCTTAACACATATTTTATTTGTCCTTTCTCGACTGAAAAAAAACATTATAGCAGAATACTCTCTGCTGATACCACTGCTTGTGGCAAAGATTTCCAAAATGTAACCACTCTGACTAAGAAGAAGCCCCTACGCCCTTTGTGGTTAAATCTTTTCTTTACCAATTTTAGGTGATGGCCTCTAGTCCTTGTTAGTCCTTGGAGTTTACTGTAAAAGGTTTACTGCTGATATTGTCATCCACACCAAACATTTTGTACATGAAAATCATGTCCCCTCTTAGTCCAAATTTAGCAACCTTGTTAGATAGCTTTGATCCCCAGGTCCCTAATGAGTTTGGTTGCCCTTCTCCGGACTCTCTCCAGCTCCAGGACATCATTTCTGTGGATTGGGGACCAAAACTGAACTGCATACTCCAGATGAGACTGAACCAGCGATCTTTAAAGTGGCAACATTTTTGAGTTGTCTCTACAGTACATTCCCATTTTAATACAAGACAGTACTCTGCTAGCTTTGTTTACCACAGCCTGGCATTGCAAAATATTATTCAGTCTGTTGTCTACTATGACACCCAAATCTTTTTCCATTTCTGACTTTCCTAGTGGAGTACCCATTAATGTATATTGTGCTTGCCTGTTTTTAACCCCAAGATGCATTACTTTACATTTATTAACATTGAACCTCATCTGCCCAATCGTTGCCCACTCCCCTATTTTATCCAGGTCCTCCTGTAATGTTATAATGTCTAAGTCTGTGTCTATTTCCCTCCCAATTTTAGTATCATCTGCAAATACAGAAACATGGCTATTAACACCCTCCCCAATATAATTAATATGTGTGATTACTGAGACAGTGCCACCTGTCTCAGCAGTCACTAACTGCAGCTTCTGTGACAGAATTTCTGTCATAGAATTTCTGTCACAGAAGCCATGCGTCCTATCGTCCGGAGCGTCTTATAGACCGCAAAATACGGTATATGATAAACCTAACTGAACCATTAATATGAGTCTGTGAAGGTTCTCATTTATCCAGGTCATGGGATAGCTAGTTAGTCACTGGTATGGAGGACCAGAGCTACGAGACAAGGCTACTAAATTTAAACGTGTTCACATTGGAGGTGAGGAGATTAAGGGGGGATATGATCTCCATGTATAAAATGTTCAATGGTGGTAGCAACATTAGCGATAAACTGTTTAAAATTAACTCCATTACAAAAACTAGAGGTCACCACCTAAAATTGGTGGACAAAAAATTCCAGCACAAGGGGCGCAGGGGGTTCTTCACAGTAAGATCAGTTAGGGCCTGGAACTCACTGCCATAGGCGGTGATTTCAGCAAATAATGTGGAATTGTTCAAGAAACTTTTGGACGATTTCTTAAGAGACCGTAATATACATGGGTACAGGTACTCCTAGAATGAGATCCTAATAGGTTGGACTTGATGGACTAATGTCTTTATTCAACCTCAAATACTATGTAACTTTCTTCTGGACTTTTTCTGTTATGATAAACATGTTTCTTAGCTTATCTAAGCCACTTCTTCAGTTCTGACAAGTGTCAAGAAAATCCCCCTGTGTTTATTTTCACACAGGTAGCACACACATCTTAATCCAAACCATGGAAAGGCAGACGTTGATTGACCAAGAACAGGATGGGAGGTGTGAAAGTTATAAAACCACTCTGTTCTAATTACATAATCCCATGATTGCCAATTTAATCGAAGGTTTAACCCCTAAACAGATTTCCTGATGCCAAGGATGGGATTATGTAACTAGAAAAAGTGGTTCCAAACTTTCACACCTCCCATTCTGTTTTGGAACAATCAGTACACACTGAGTGGCCAGAATATTATGACCACCTGACGTTTGTAGGCAAATTAGCTATAATTAGCTATAATTTCGCGCTGAAGTTGCTAGAGGGCCAGGCCATTATAAATAGGGAACCAGGTTGTTTACCACGACAGTAGAAGTGATTTTTTTCTGAAGATATGGGTAAACAACGCGATTTAACAGCCTTTGAACGTGGGATGATTGTTGGCGCTTGGAGCCATGGAGCGAGTATCAGCAAAACATCAGAATTCGGTAAATGTTCAAGAGCAGCTGTTGTTAAAGTGTTTAAAGACTGGACTGTCAGCCGAAAATCTGGGTCTGAACGTGCGAATTGTGGCCGTCAGCGACTAGTCAATGTTAGGGCAGAACAGAGAGTATAAAGATTGGTACAAGACAACAGAAGGGCAACAGTGCAGTGTCAGATTCCTCGCATCACCTTTCAACATCTCGTGGAGTCACGAAGCGGCCTAACGAAGTCATCTCGTTGAGTCATCTCTGGCCCAACGAAGTACTGATGGGGTGGTCATAATAATCTGGCCACTCAGTGTATGCCTCACTATTGTGATTGGACTAAGGTGTATGTGCTACCGTGTGTATATAAATGTTTTGGGATTTTCCTGACACTCATCAGAACTGCAGAAGTGGCTTTGACAAGCTACAAAACATTATCAACATTACAGAACAAATCCAGTTGAATGTGACTCACTACTACTAGCCATCCCATTTGAGGCACATTTGTGATGTATTTACCATGCCATCACATTGCAGTCACATGCAAAACAGTACACAGTTTATGTAACATTAAACACTACTCCATACATTCCAGTCCAAAATTCAAGTATCAAATTCCATTGAAGAACAAATGCTGCACAGATGTTTGTCAGATGTAAAACACAAATAATTTTTAGCATCTCTAGTTAAATCACACTTCTCTGTCCATGGTTTAGGTGGAGCACATGTTGTCACATGTTGTCATGCATACAGGTGCTGTGTATAGTTTGGAGGAAGTATAATATCTACTTAGATACCTTCTCCTGGAAGATGTAATGCAGTCTCTTCATGAGACAAAATTAATGGTCCTTAACACATATTTTATTGTCCTTTCTCGACTGAAAAATAACATTATAGCAGATTATTCTTAATAGTCCTTAACACATATTTTATTTGTCCTTTCTCGACTGAAAAAAAACATTATAGCAGAATACTCTCTGCTGATACCACTGCTTGTGGCAAAGATTTCCAAAATGTAACCACTCTGACTAAGAAGAAGCCCCTACGCCCTTTGTGGTTAAATCTTTTCTTTACCAATTTTAGGTGATGGCCTCTAGTCCTTGTTAGTCCTTGGAGTTTACTGTAAAAGGTTTACTGCTGATATTGTCATCCACACCAAACATTTTGTACATGAAAATCATGTCCCCTCTTAGTCCAAATTTAGCAACCTTGTTAGATAGCTTTGATCCCCAGGTCCCTAATGAGTTTGGTTGCCCTTCTCCGGACTCTCTCCAGCTCCAGGACATCATTTCTGTGGATTGGGGACCAAAACTGAACTGCATACTCCAGATGAGACTGAACCAGCGATCTTTAAAGTGGCAACATTTTTGAGTTGTCTCTACAGTACATTCCCATTTTAATACAAGACAGTACTCTGCTAGCTTTGTTTACCACAGCCTGGCATTGCAAAATATTATTCAGTCTGTTGTCTACTATGACACCCAAATCTTTTTCCATTTCTGACTTTCCTAGTGGAGTACCCATTAATGTATATTGTGCTTGCCTGTTTTTAACCCCAAGATGCATTACTTTACATTTATTAACATTGAACCTCATCTGCCCAATCGTTGCCCACTCCCCTATTTTATCCAGGTCCTCCTGTAATGTTATAATGTCTAAGTCTGTGTCTATTTCCCTCCCAATTTTAGTATCATCTGCAAATACAGAAACATGGCTATTAACACCCTCCCCAATATAATTAATAAACAGGCTAAACAGTATGGGGCCCTGAGGCACACCACTCTTGACCGTAGACCAATATGAAAAACAGCCATTTATCAGTACTCTCTGGACACGTTCCTGAAGCCAGTTCTCTATCCATGTACACACCATTTCATCTATGCCCATAGATTTCAGCTTGTGTATTAAGCGTTTATGTGGTACTGTGTCGAAAAAAATATGAAAAACAAAATAATATCTGAATCATAGTATTCTTCTAGTGTCTAGTATTCTTCCATGTAAATTAGCTAACAAAAATATTTAAAGATATTGAGTTTAATATTTTCTGTTTTTGTGCACATATTTAAAAACTATATTAACCAAATGGTGATACTGTCACTTATGTGTTCTGTCAACTATGGGGACATGCCAAAAATGTACTTGAATAGCATCAGTCCCAATAAGCCATTGGTATCATCAAGCTATTTATTGTTAGACACAGGTAGTTTTATATCAAATGACTCAAGGGATTATACAGTGTCCTGCTTCAAATAAAACCTGGCCTGCCTGGTGTGTATTTTTGAGACCCTTGTAAATGAGTATGAACATTCTTAAGACTCCTATTTTTTAGTTTTAGACAACATAAATACGTTTGTGTGGGTTTTTAGGGATTTTTCGAGCAAGACCGAAGAGAAACAATACCATGGCATGATTCTGAAATACTGGAGAGACTTAGGCATACTTTATGCATTTAATGTACATAAATGAACTGCTTTGTTGTTTTAAATGGTTTTGTTAATCTGTTGTGTTTGTTTAGCGGTCAGAGAATCTAAAAAAAAAAATATTTCTGCAGCATCTTCCAACAGCTTGTTCTTTCTCCTTCTTAGGCTAACTTAACACTACAAGGAGCCAAGCTTTTAGTTGCCGAAACAGAACTGAACAATGCACAGAGCCAACTTGATGCCAAGCAAAGAGAGCTGGATGATGTGCAGGCAATGTACGATGCTGCTATGAGAGAGAAACAAATGCTACTGGATGATGCAGATGCCTGCAGGCGGAAGATGAACAATGCTACAGCTCTGATTGAGGGACTTGGAGGAGAAAAAGTAAAAACATATCTATGCAGAATATGTTCTTTATTCTTGTATTGTTACAGTCCCTCCTGTTGATATCCATTGATTTCTTTCTGAATTCTCTTTTTCTTGGATGATGTTGGTTATATGTAGTTTACTTGATAACTTTTACATCTATAGTATGGATGCACTGGTATTACATTGCATTGTAATTTACTGTAATGTTTGCCTTTTATAAAGAATTGTTGGCTTTATAAAGTAAATCTGTCACTTTCTCTGTTAGAAATAGCCCTACAAATGCAGACTTGGTGCTGAACAGTAGTGCTGAACACTTTAAATGGAAATCTGTGGCTGCAGGGCACCTCAGGAGCCCCTGTAACCCCGGTACCTGCAGTATTTTATTTCCATTGTGGGCACTGTTCAATAGAATTGTGATGCCCTGCACCAAATTGTGGTGTGCAGCAGGGGAGGTCCTTAGGAATGCCTTTTACAAAAGTCATTATTTACATACTGGAGGTGCCCTGCAGCCCACAGTCAGAGATTCTCTTTTAAGTATATGTTCTTGAACTGTATTGATATATATAGGTTAGGGCTGGAACTAATGATTATTTTCATAATCGATTAGTTTGACGATTATAATTTTTTAATTAATCGGATAAAAATAAATACCATCCTTAACTTACAATAAAATCCACAAATGCAGTGTTACAAACATAAAGCTTACTTCAGAATAAAACTGCATGCACAATTTTTTGCAATCGCACTGCAATAGAAAGTACGACATTGCTGTATCGTGCTTTCTAGTGCAGGCGATCACACTATGGGTGGGAGGTGCGTTTGGGGTGCCATTGAAATGAATGGCACTGCAACGCACTTCCCGCAGCAGAATTTGTCAGGCCGAATCCGAAAATGACTTTTTTTCCCACCTTTTTATATATATATTTTTAAAATAATTGTATTGTAAGCACATGGCGCTTGAATAGCTGCAGCCAGAGAATGACAGCTGCCAGTGGCAAGATTCTGCAGACAGCAGCTGAATGTAAATACAGCATTTTGTGGGCTGGTGCAATAGTCAGCCTACTATTGGCCATTTTGAATTACATAGTTACATAGTTAGTCAGGTTGAAAAAAGACACAAGTCCATCGAGTCCAACCTATAGAGATACAAAGAGAAAAAAAAAAAGAAGAAAAAGAAAAGCCTAAACAGAACACTGTGCCCACAATTACCCAATGTTGATCCAGAGGAAGGCAAAAAAAACCCTATAAAGCACGGTTCAATTTGCTCCAACAGGGGAAAAAATTCCTTCCTGATCCCATAAGGCAATCTGATATTCCCTGGATCAACAATCTCTGATGCTTAATATACCTCTAAGAACTCAATATCCAGTAATATTCTGTGCATTTAGGAATACATCCAGATGTTTTTTAAAACAATTAACCGAGCTAGCTAGAACAAGCTCCTGGGGGAGTCTGTTCCACATTTTCACAGCTCTAACTGTGAAGAATCCTTTCCGTATGCAAAGGTTAAACCTCCTTTCCTCCAGACCCAAAGAGTGCCCCCTTGTCCTTTGCAGTGACCTTAACGTGAATAATTTGGCACCAAACTTGCAATAGCAAGCAGCAGGCCAAATATGGGTGCTGTTTCATAACTTCCTAGACCTAGTGTGGTATTTCAATACAAAGGATATGACTTGAAAATTATTGTGACAACAGCCTCAAATCCCACCGCTATGGGCAGAATGTGACAAGTGCACTCTCAGGAAGGTAACAGAATTTAAAATATGGTAGAGTTCTTCAAAGAGGCAAGGATTCTTGATTTATTATTTAGAGTATTTAGAGAATCAGCTTAATGATTTCAAAAAATGCCTTAATTACAAAATATATTTACAGATAAAGATATTACAAAATAAACAATAAGCAAAATAAATGGGTCATACAATAAGTAACAGCAAAATAAACAGGATTAAAAGTGAAAAAGTACTTTAAAAAGTTTGTGTTATCTTTGGCATCTGGACAGAGTCCACTTCAGAGTAAGTCCAATACTGACAAATTCAGCGGCTCTGAGAAATTACTCTTAGCATTCTGGCATTGTTCCAGCTCCAGCTGCCAATTGCAGCAGCCTTTTTTATTCTCCAGAGGGTGTCACTGAGCAATCTCCCACCCAATCAATAAAACTAAGGTGTGTGATGTAGGACTGCTAAATGTTTTACAATACTTTAGCAGACACCCCCTTAATGCCAGTTTTTATTTGGTTCTGATCGTTAAAAAAACCCAGACTAAGATGTGTATTGCCCTAAACCATTTCTGTAATGCTTTAACAACTATTTTATGATAGCTAGTAGCAATCTCTGCTTTTATGGAGGTTTATCACCCTCAGTTATGATCAGGGTACATTTGAGCCTGTGCTCTGCTAGAGGTCTTATGGCATAGCAATTTTATGTCAGGTTTTACTTGAAGTCTTTTGAGACTGTGCTGTCTATTTAACCTAATCTGCTCAAGCTGGTTGTATTCTAGTTCAATCTTGTCTGTGAATTTTAAAAGTTGCTCCTTGCTGGAGCTCAAACAAGAGATTTAAATATATTTATCTATATGATCCGTGCTACCTACTACTATCTAAACAAACTGCCCAGCGCTATATTTAAATAATTAAATAGAATATTAAAGTCCTTTAAAAGTTCATAAAAGTATTCAGTTATCCATACAATGCCACAAATCTCTCAACCAACTTGTTCAAAAGTCCCAGTACATTTGTGCAAACGATACAAGCAGTGCAAGAATACCCACAAAATTTGTGCAAATGATGCAATTAGGTGGTCACTCTCCCCATCCGTGTGTGGCCACAGACTACACTCAGCAGATGAGGTGGACCATTCAGATAGAAATGGTCTTACAGCACTCAGATTACAATCCATCCATCCGCGGGGATGTTTAAACCGTCAGTATTCCCCTTCATCTCCTTTTCTCCATTCAGCAATGCTCATGGAAAAGTATGAAAAAACATTTATAGTTACCAATAGTTAACTAATTTATTTATTTTAAAAGATTAAAAACACTCACAAAAGTTTCTGCACCGATTGCTTGTAATACATGCCTTCCTAGAGCCACTGCTGGCGTGTTTAACCCCTTTTTAACATGGGTACAAAAAATGAAAAAAAGGCCTCAGTCATGAAGGGGTTAAATAGGATGCAGTAGTCCTCTATAGCAAATGTTCGTTCAGCCACACTCTCAGAGCAGTCCTTCACTTCCTGATGTCTAGTGGATGACCTCAGCGTGTATCCGCCCACCGATGCAATTCATCATGTGACTTCCTCGGGGCTGGGCTTATGAACTTTTAAAGGACTTTTTAAATATTTTATTTGTTTTATTATTTAAATATAGTGCTAAACAGTTTGTTCAGGATCAAGAGATTTAAATATATATATATTTTAGCAGACTTACAATTTTGGATACATGGTGTGCAACAAGACTCCCCACTCAGTTTGGGCTTATCAGACCTCATTATCGTCACAATTATTTTTCAGTGTAATATATTGAATGTACGTGTTGCTTTTCTCTAGATACGGTGGACAGAAAGCAGCAAAAATTTTCAGAATCAAATTATTCGGCTAGTTGGTGATGTTCTTTTAGCCACTGGTTTCCTCTCCTACAGTGGACCATTTAACCAAGAGTACAGGACTCTGCTGCAGCAACTCTGGAAGAAGGAAATGAATCATAATAGAATACCATACAGTGATGTAAGTATTTTAGTTACAAATTAGACACATATTTCTACTATGTAATTATTATTTGTCTTTTTTTTTGGACCAACATTGCAATCTTTATACTGTGTATAAGTGACTTTATGTTAATAAAAAATCTGATTGAATCTAGTTAACTGATAACACCAAAGAAGAGTTGCCATTAGAGTGGCACAACCCACGTAAATCTTAATCAGACCCTCAAAAATGATATGGTAATAAATGCTGTTCACAAATAGTTGACTTTCTAGACATAAATCTGTGAGGCCAGTTTTATGGGAAATGTTGGTTTATTAATTAAATCAGTCAGATCCTAAATAGTGTTGAAAAGCTTACAATACCACTATATACACTTCATATACCTGTATTAATCTTCACATCCATTTCAGTGCAGCCAAGGGGTCCCTGGAACCCATGTAAACCATGGGAACAGTACTTTGACACAAAATGTTCCCTTCCACTTGCTCACTGTTCAATAAAACAGTACCAAAGTGTCCATGACCATTTGACATTTACTAGTAAATGGTAGGGAGGGGCCTAGTGGAAGAAGCCCGGGGGGGGGGGAATGCAACAGTTACTAGTTCCTTTCCATTGTACATCTTCAATAATTTAAACTTGACTGACATTAAGGGCGTTCTATTTTACCTCCTTTAGATAATCTGAAATATCACTTCATGGAAACCTACAACCTATTAAAAACATATTAAAACACGTTATGTACAGTATGTCTTAATGAATGTAATAATTAGCTAATAGAGCTGAGAATAATTGGGGCACCCAATAATGCACAAGGTTGCACATACTAAAGCCAATTATGCGTAGACAACAGATACATGATTTATTAAAGTTAGGTTTTAAACGTTAGTGTAGTCAGTCTAATTAAAATAATTTTTGATTGCTTGATACTGTCCATTTCCAAGTTCCCTGTTAATTTAATACGGCCCATTATTAGAGTTTCTGTCATAAGAGAGATCATTAATGGACAGAAAGAAAGGGAAAAAAGACCAGACGAGCTAAAAAAAGGTAGATTCACCATTATTCTTTGGTGATTGGGAAGAAACCGGCTGATGCAAGATTTTAGTACTTATGAAGCGTATATGCAAGTGAAAACAAAAATATTTGGTGTGTCTGGTCATTCCTAAATTATTACATTAGTTTTAGGATTATTGGCCTTAATTAACAGCTATCAAATGTAAGTGTGTAAAATGTATAGGAATTACTAATCTGTAACTTGTATACTTGCAGAATGCACCTTATACAACATTGCAGTTCTAATTGCTCAAGTAATAAATTCATTAAAGCAGACGTTAAGAATAAAAAAGCCCCCAGGAGCTTTTAGCCATAATTTGCTAGTATGCACAGCACATTAGCATGTTATGACAAACTTACCTGCCAAAATGATCCCCTCCAGCACCGCTCCCCTCGGTCACTGACGCTTCTGTCTTCTCCTGGGCATTATTTATTGACCAGATCTTATGGCATACAATAATCCTTCACATGCATATGGTTTATCTTGGTAGGAATCCTTCTGAGCCTGTGCACTGAGTTGCACATTCTTGGCTTAGTGCACAGAAATAAAGAAAGTGTTGACAGGTAGGAGGATATATGACAGAAGAGGCATAGGCAGTCTCTTCTGTTGTATTCTGCCTGTCTGTCAACATTTTTTTTTATTAATACACTTAACATCTTCTTCTTTATTTTTTGTGGATAAAATAATTTATTGTTTCACATGCTTATAGTACAACAGTGCATGCTATTTGTGCCCGACATTGTTGGCTCCAGACATAGCAATGCATATAACATTACATTAACAATAACCATGAAAAAGAAAACAACAAAAGAAAAATTCTGGTTCTACAGTACAAGTGGGGGAAGCTTTTCCCTACATAGCTCACTAGGCAAACCGACAACACTCCTATATACCCGCCAGGGGGCTCGGCCGTAACAGAATAACAGTAAGGTGAAGAACAGATAGGTGAATCTGATAGTGGGGCACATGTCTCACCTGGCCCCACTGGTAGGACAGGGTCCAGGCTTACCCAGGGCTCTCCGAGAGGGGCAGTGGTCAGTCCTCAGGGTTGTGCATCCATGTCTACTGCCGAGTTAGTGCATTCTAACCAGCTATCCCAGATTTTATGGAATTTTTCGGGACATCCCCTGTGGGCAGGGCCGTCTTTAATATTGATTGGACCCCGGGCAAACATTTTCTTGGGCCCCCCACCACGCCCCCCTGCAATATTGCCCGCTATATGCTGACAGAGCAGAGCCACGCTGCATCTGGGATGGATCCAAAAAATATTGTCCAGATCCACCCCACCACCTGATTGACAGCTGACTCTACCTCTCTAGAGGTTGTGTCCGCCCCATCCATCCCTCCAGTCAGCGTTGGAGGATCAGAGAGAGGAGGGGGGTATTCCTGCGAGGAGCCGTGACTGACAGTCACCGCTCTCTGCAGAGAGAGTGAGTGCGGGAACTGCGTGATCAGCGGTATGTGATCGCTCAGTTCTCGATCAAGAGAGCCAACCTGTGGCAGCTTCAGTAACTAGGGGGAAGAGCGCATTTCACTCTCCCCATAATTCTACTTTCATGGTAAATGTGCGGATAATTCGCCACCTACAACTTCCACTGCATAGAATAGCAACAATAATAATAATGACACCTGAGCATGTCCCCTGGTGTCATTATTATTATGTGCCCTGGTGTCATTATTAGTATGTCCCCCCAGTGTCATTATTGTTATGTCCCCCCTGTGTCATTATTATTATGTGCCTCCGGTGTCATTATTATTATTATGTCTCCTGGTGTCATTATTGTTATGTCTTCGGCCAGCTTGGCAGATACCGCTCTCCGGGATCTGCCCACATCTCCTGTGTGTACAGCGCCCACGTGATCGGCCCTCAGCCTGCTACTGCGCATGCGCAGACTGCCCAGCGCTCTCAATCAGAAATCATGTGCATGCGCAGTAGCAGGTTGAGGGCTGATCACGCGGGCGCTGTACACACAGGAGACGTGTGCAGATTCGGGAGAGCTTAGAGAGCAGTATCTGGCCGAGCGACTGGTACGGCTGCTAAGGATCTATGTGAGGGGAATGATTTGTCTGCAGGGTGGGGGTCGTGTCGCCATATTATCAGATTTGTTTGCCCGGCTCGACACTGGCTGGGAAGTCAGCTTCCCAGCCAATCAGCATCGAGCCGGCCAAATAGCATAGAGCCAGCTTCCCGGCTCCATGTTCCCTCGCGGCAATGCCGATCAGAGGAAATCTCCATCTGACCAGAAGTTCTGGTATAGGGAAAGGTATCAGTGCATTTGGGCGAGTATGAGTATCCGGCATTGCGGAACCTGGCCTTGGGGCAGCAGGCAGGGTAAATCCGGTCCTGTCCCTAGTCATCACCATAATGACACCAGGCGACACCCGGGGGCGGGACACACACACACGTCATCACCATAATGACACCAGGGGGATGGCATAGCAATAATGACACCGGGGGATGGACATAACAGTAATGACACCAGGTGATGGACATTACAATAATGACACCAGGGGATGGACAGAACAATAATGACACCAGGGGATGGACATAACAATAATGACGAAGGGGACGGAGATAACAATCATGACACCAAGGGACATAATAATAATAATAATAATAATGACACTGGGGGGACATATTATTATTATGTCCCCCTGGTGTCATTATTATTATCTCCCCCTGGTGTCATTATTATTATTATGTCCCCCTGGTGTCATTATTATTATTATGTCCCCCC